TGATAATCTCCTAGACGAAGAACTTGACAAGCATTTGGACGATATCATCAATCAAACACATGCTGCTTTAACCTTGGGCGCAAATGATGAGATGGAGGTGGAGGATACCCAAATCCTGGTTGATGAAGATCCATTTTTGCCCTCACAACCTCCGCCGGGTAAAAAAGCGAAACCGTGGTCGAGAGATAAGATTGGAGGAGGAAGAAAGAGGAAGGTCACAATCCCCTCTCGGACATCGCGACAACAAACTGAGGGTCAACAAAATGAGGATCAAGCACATTCCTCTCGAGGCTCGTGCATCCAGGTCGAAACTCATTTTGAAGAAGCTGGTGGACCCGAGACTCAGTTTGACCTTGGTGGACCTGAGACTCAGTTTGGTGGACAGTCGCAACCACAACCGGGAGTCAAATTTATCACCATGGGGGAGTCCCAATCCCAACCCCAAATCGAGGCTCAGTTTGGTGGACAGTCACAACCACAACAAAGTTCAACACTCACGTATCTTAAGAGGAGAGACAGGATCCAACAGGGCCCAAACAAATACACTCCGGATGCGCACAATAAAGGAAAAGGGAAAAAATGAGACATTTCATTATTTTGCACATTTATAGTAGTTTTTGTATTGAACTTTTATGAAACTTGATTTGTTTTGTTGTTAATCGAATGCCGTGTATTGTTTTGTTGTTATTAAATTCCTGTTTTCCAATGTTTCATTGTTGTTGGTGCTGTAAAAAGGTTTAGGACTGGTGAAAATCAGTCCAATTTTTTTTTTCAATTCTGACAAAGACTCGGATTTGCGAAATCCGAACCCAGACTTTTTGTAAAGAATTCGGATTTCGGAAATCCGAGTCCGTGGCCAACTGAGAGTCACCATTTTTCAGAAAACAGAGCAGATTCGGATTTCAGTAATCCAAGTTCTGCCCAAATTTAATTTTTCAACACATTATTTTTTCTCTATCCGGAAATTAATTTTATTCATAGAAACAGATTTATAAAATCCGGATTTAGATTAATTACACTAATTTTTGTCATTAACTTAATATCGGATTTACGTAACACAAAGTCGGATTTTAATAATCCGAGTTTATTAGGGGTCGGATTTCCGAAATCCGAGTTTTGCCCCGATTCGGATTTCCTAAATCCGGGGCATATATGTTTGTCCACAAGATTTTAAAAAGCTTTATTTTTATTCAGGTTTTCTTTTTCATATATATTTAAGGAAAAAATTCGTTAATTATTTCCATAGTAGGTTACCTGAGCTGTTGATTAGAAGATTGCAAGTGGAATTGAAGCACAGAATTGGGCAGAGAATGAAAAAGGGCAATATGGCTGAAAGAAGTATTTTACAGCAAGTGTTTGATGTCTAATCTGTTTTGATGTATGCTGTTTTTGTGGCTCTGAGAGGTGAGAGGTAGAAAGATGCTTAATGACGTCAAAAGTTTTGTAATAGTTAGGAAATGGACCATTTGTAATGAGCTTTCCTGTTTCGGTGATCTTATATAAAATTTACCTTTTCACCGAAAAAAATTATTTCCATAATCATCAAAATTCAAAAAATTATATTACATCATCAACCTGAAATATGGTGGAAACAAACTAAAGCCAAAGTGAAATGAAAACGTTACATAGAAGGAAGAAAAAGCCATACAAACTTACTTTTTTTAAAGAGCCAACCCAGAGTCAGAGGTATCATAATGCAAGACGAAAAGCTAGGCGAATTCAACGGAATGGGTCCGTGAGATTAATATACCCTAAACATTAATTGGTAGAAAAAGTTGTCTTAGGGTTAAATATGTAGAAATTTATATGTTTCTCGCATTTGTAATATACAAACAATTGGTTTTTGCATTTTCTATATGTAAAGACGTTTACGTAAGTAATTAGTTCAACTGAAGCAAACAATATTAACAAAAGAGATAAAAAAATATTTTATTCGGTCAAGTTTTCGCATTCGATAAATGCGAATACATTAATATAACAATTATTAAAGTAGACACGGAAGAAAAGAGAAAAAGTGTGGGCCATCACACAAATTTCGCATTCGACGAATGCGAACAAATTAATATGTGAATTATTAAAGTAGACACAGAAGGAAAGAGAAAAGTGTAGGCCATCACATAAATTTCGCATTTGACAAATGCGAGTGTATTAATATATGAATTATTAAAGCAGACACGGAAGGAAGAGAAAAGGTATGAGTCATCATAAGCTTTTCGCATTCTACGAATGCGAACAACAAATTTTAACGTATAAAAAATACGAAATTATTTTTTTATCCTATTAAAATCTGATTGGTCGATATTTTATCGACATGTGGCAATTGTTGACAATTATAGATGTTCGCATTTAGCGACTGCGAATGTGATGCCTAGAGTCATAATTTAAAACTCATCACCACTCCAAATACGGCAGAACTAAAAACCATCAATTTTTTTCTTCTTGCATTCAGTTGAAATTTTCATTCGGGTGGAAGAGGCGGAGCAAGAAAGAGGCATTCTTCAGATTGAAGGTTGGATGGTTGGACTGAACGGGAGCAGGACAGAGGCAACCCATTTAGGTAAGTTTTTGTTCTCTATTAAATTTGTAAAATTTATACATTCTATTGTTATTTGGGGCTATTAATGGTGTTTTGGTGTACGAAATTACTAAATTTAATAATTTAGGTAGTTATTGAGAATTAGGTTTAGAAACTTTGCTTAAATAAATATATATTTGATGTAGAATGAAGAATAAAATTATTTTTGTTATATGAATTGTTGAATTTTGTTGAATATTATGAGTTATTTTATTAATTTAGAGAATAACCTGGTTGATCTCGAATTTTGGTCTTTACCCTCAATTTTGTGAATTTTATATTCTAACCCAATTATTTGTAATGTTATTGATTTGACCCTATTTTATATTTTTTATTCTGTTAATTTTATATTTTATCATTAATGTTGAGTGCTAAATTCATGTATTGTTGAATAAATTTAGTTTTAATTGATCAAATACATTGTGTAAATCTAAATTTATTTGTTTGATCAAAATTGTTCTTCTTTTAATTGAAAACTTTGTTATATAGATGTTGAATTATATTTTTTGAATTATTAAATTATGTTAGAGATTTTTCACTAAAGATAGGACTTATTGTACCGTGATTTGGAGTAAATTACTACTAGGGAGGTAGAATATTGTTATAACAAGAAAGAGGTACAAACAGCTGTGGGGAAATGGTCATTGCGACAGGGTCGGGCATGTCGGATAAAATATGGCCGTCCCTATACGTGGGCCGCTGAATGCGAGACTAAAGGGCCGGCGTACCCAGAAAAACTTCTCCACGGCACTACTTGCTTGTGGAAATGTCGAGCTACCCTGTAAAAAGACACAAATACTTGGAGAATGGTGGTATGGATCGAGAGCCACAACTGTCTTGGTGCAACCACAAGAAACGAAGCTCAAAACTTGACGTCCACAATGATTGTTCGATTGATCACAGCCAATGTCCGAAAAGATCCAGGTTATTCAGTCGCGCAGATCCAAGTCGAAGTAAATAAGAGATACAGGGTGACCCCCAATTACAAAAAGGCGTGGCATGGTCGAAGAAAAGCACTTGAGAGTCTGTATGGCACATGGGAAAGCAACTTTCAACAACTGCCCAGTTTTCGGGAAGCATTGCTCAGAGCGAACCCAGATACCCGTATGCAGTTTAAGTTCACTAAAGATACCAAGAATCGGAAGAAGAAGGTATGCAGGTACATTTTTTGGGCATTTGGGCTAGCTATACATTTATTTAGAGCTACTTGGCCGGTCATAACCGTCGACGCCACCCACCTCCGAGGTTCATACAAAGCAACATTGATCGTGGCATGTGTGAAGTGCTCGAATAACACAATTGTTCCCATCGCGTTTGCCCTCGTGGATAAAGAGATATTGCACAGCTGGAAATGGTTCCTTAAATACCTGAAAAATTTTGTTCTACTTGACAAGGAGACCTGCATTATCTCTGATCGCCATATAGGTATTCTTGCTGCTATGGATGTTATTCTTGATAAATTTCCAGGGATGGGAGTGCACCGTTATTGTCTACAGCACATCAAAGCAAATTTAGCTAGCAATTTTCCTGGGCAGAAACTCAAAAGACCTTGTCAAAGGGCTTGTTCAATATTGCAAAAAGGCAATTTTGAAAAAGAATGGATGAATTTAGAATGTAAAAATAGAGATGCAGCCATATATCTTCAGCAAATCGGTCTTGAGAAGTGTACCCGTTATTGGGACGGGGATATCGTTGGGGAGAAATGAGTTCGAACATATCCGAGAATTTTAATAATGTCTTAAAAGGTTGCCGGATGCTCCCTATCACTGCTTTGATTCTTGCCACATTGTATAAGACTAACAAGTTGTTTCAGGAAAACATAGATGAAATTGACAAATGCCATTCACCCCTCGCGACGAATCCCATGAAAGCGATTACCGTATACATCAGATGGGTCACGAGGTTACCAGATTCAGCAAGAGGAATCAGAAGTACCAAGTGGTCACGTACTCACCACCTGATCAGCCATGGAAGGGTGGAAATATCCATGAGGTAAGCTACGCCGCCAGGATGTGCGCATGTAACAAGTGGCAGACATACAGGTTTCCTTGCTCCCATGCGCTTGCTGTTGCCAGGTTTCTACGTCATGATCCATTACCCCTTTTTGATTCATTTTATAGTAGGGAACAATGGGCTATTCAGTTTTCTGGAGAATTCAACACAGTCCTTCAACCATGGCCACAGGCGACGTGGCAGCTGAGGCCTGATGATACATTACTCGTCCACCATGGTAAGTTATAGTTTTACTATTTCTTTAATCACACCCATATTAATATGATTTTTATACATATAACTTTCTAAAATGTTATTTCCTATTTTTAATTTACCATATATATGTTAATTTATAAAATATATTTATTATATATTTTTAATTTACCATATATTTATTTCTTCTCATAATTTCCAGGCCAATTTAGTGCAAAACATGCGGCAGATTACTCTAGATGGGCTACAACGTAATCCAGCTGATTCTTGGAATCACAATGCCTTCCTACAGCTGCACGATTTGACACAGCAGGCAATGACTATCAGCAAGACATCTGTTTGGGCTGATAGTGAGAACCCAAGCCAAGATTTTGTTCCGGCTGACCCAACCCAGGAGTATATCCCACCTAGGCCTCCCAGGACTAACCGAGGCGAGTTCCAGTTAGGGAGTGGGAGGATGAGAAAACCTGTGGCCACCCAGGATACTGGCGGGCCATCTTCTACCCCGCATGTGTCTCCTTACCGTCCAGCATCGCCACACCACCATCCCTCTCCTCCTTTTGAGCAAATGCATTTTGATTCAGATTTTATTAATCTAGATCCTAATGCGGGGGGTTTCTTTGAGACTAGTTACGAGGGTGGTCATCATAGTCAGCATCTACCTGGTGACCATATCCATAATGATCAGGAAAATGATCAGGATCATGAGGATAATCGGGATCAGGAGCATGATGATGAGAGCACCAATGATTCTGATGATGCTGAGCATTCCTCTCATGATCATGATGAGGGCGCTAATCAGGGTGAGGGCTCGAGCCAGTGCCCGAGACAGGGCCCCAGTGATGGTACCATGCCTTTTACACAGATTGCTTTGGGTAAGGGACAGCGGAATATAAAGAAGAAGAAAAAGTGCTGCATGACAGATTCTCGGGAGAAAAAGCGCAAGATGTAGAAAAATTAGATTGAATTGTACTTTTATTTTATACTATTTTATGACTTTTGTTATTAGTTTTAAACAATGCCTTTCATTTCTTTTCATTAACAATTTATTTCGGTTTTATTTAATCTTTAGTAAACTCGAGCTTTTGAATTTTTAAAATGATACAATAGTTTTAGGATTAACAAAAATAAAAGGCAAACATTAAAGAAGAAAATTTATCAAAAAGACAATATTATGTACAATTTTTTTTAACTCTTACGTTTATACAATACTATCTTTTGCGTCGTGCCAAATTCAAGTTTCCAGGTCGCCAAAAGATCATTGTTAGAAGGAAGTGTGATTTTATCAAGTTTAGCAGGACTGATTATGTTAGATGGAAGCAAGAAAACATGATTGTTCCTGATGGTGTCAATGTTAACCGTCAACCTGGAAGAGCCTTCTTGGAAGCAACCTCTTCAGAGCGTTTTATTGAAACACTTTCTTGTTCAGTGTTCATTGTAGTACTGTGCGGATGTGATCTAAGGCCATTGACCACATTATATTTTTTCCATTTTCCTTTATATTATGTCAGATTCTAAAAGTTTTAGTTTTTTTCCTTACTTTAAATGATTTGATTCTAAGTTTTATTATGTAAAAAAAAAATTACTATCCAAAATTTACTAAACTTGATTTTTTGACATTTTATTTTTAATGATGGTAAGTTTTTAAATTGAAACCAAATAAAAGTCAATTTTTTTAAAAGCAAACTTGGTTACAAAAGGCAAGATTATATTCTAATTTTTCACCGAAATTTTAATTTACTTATTATTCAAATTTTATTATAAATGCATTATACGATTTCTGTTCACCAAATATAATTTATAGCATTGCAATTCTATTTAGAACTAACATAAATTTACTTAAATCAAATGAATACTTTAAATTTAGAAAATTTAATTTTCAATTAAAATAGCATTTTTTTTGAAATGTTACATCATTTTATCAACCAAAATATTTAATTTACAACATTTCATTTTATACCAATATAAAGTTAGGAAACAATTTTTAAATAAAAAATTAAAACGTTCGCATATGGCGTATGCGAGAAGTTTATTTTCGCATATGACATATGCGAACACTTATAATAATTATAATTATCTAGTTTTAATCCAACGTCTTTAATGCATAGTAATTAATTCAATAAATTTTCGCATTCGTTGAATGCGGAAGTTGGTTTTTTTCGCATTTGTCAATTGCGAGAAACATATTTCTTTCTTCCCCCTGAAAACCTAGCCATAGTTTTGCCTACAACACCACCGTGGGAGCATATTTGTCTCATTTTTCGCGAATTCAACAATACTATCATCGAGGGTGGCATTGGCCCAGTAATTCGACGCGACGGCGTTTGCCTTGCCAGCCAGAAAATATCGGAACCACCGACAATCGGCAGTTCCCTGTACTGGAGAGACAACGGTTCCGACCCAGAACGGTAATAGTGCTACCGTTATAAGGGCCGGCGGTGAACACGAAGTTGAATGTAAAAAGTAAACTCAAATCCTCCTGCGACGCCTTAACGTAGATCCGCTGACCCTACCCGACGAAATTCGGGTCGGTCTAACGTAAAGGGATCGTCAAATACCCGGACTTAACCGAAGGAATAGGGCGATGATGACGTAATGGTTGCTCAGGCGACTTCCACGGCGGTCGGGCGGTCGCCGGAGACCTGGTCGTTGAAGTAGAAATGAAGCTTTGTTAACTTCTCTTTTGAGTTGGGAAGGGTTTTTGTGTACCATTCTTCCGCGGCCTGTGGAGTGTGGACTTTCATCCGCCCTTAATGGAACTGCTGCCATCACAAAAGCAAGAAAGATCACTATGAAGCTCATGATCTGCATGCTTCTTTTCATCATGGAGCTCTGGGACTTCCTAATCTTCTTACTATATATATGTTCTTTTTTTTTCCTCAGTTACTTTCTTTCAACTTTATGGTACAAAATAGTTGAATGGGAGTCTTGCATCTTTATAAATTTAATGGTACAAAATAGTTGAATGGGAGTCTTGCATCTTTATAAATTTAAAATTTGATAGAGCAAAAGTGGAAAATATTGAGGACAGATATGGAACCCATTTCATGTGACGTGCAAGCAGAGTGTAGCAGGAATAATTGTACACTCAATAGTAAATTAGGGTATTGATAAACTAAGAGCAACTTTTTTATTTTGAGAGCAAAATTTTATTAAATGCCCATATTAGCCTTGTACAAGTTTTAAGGAATTTACTCTATTTATTTTTCCTTGATTCTTTCCCTTCCTCTCTTAATCCTATCAACTCACCGTAATTTTATCTTTCTTCAAAACATTTCACTCTCAAATCATAAATCCAACATATTGAAGCAACAACAATTGAACTGAAACCAAACCCTTCTAGCAAACAACAATTGTAAGCAACAAAGAGCATTATTATATAAATGAAAAAAATAACTAAAATCCCAATCATCATCAAACTCATCAGGAAGTTATCCACCCTCTTGACGGCGGGAAGACGCAGACCCCCAAGTACTCATTAACTTTATTTTCCTGAGGGAAGGTGTGGTTTTGCAACACAAACAAACAGCATATTGTGGAAGTCATTGATAAACATATATGGTGCATCTAAGGTTGGGATGGAGACAAAGGCCATTGACATATCGACATGTAAGTTGAATAAACATATAATTCTTTCCTAGCCATTAGAACAGGAAAAAGAAAGAAGAATTATGATCAAAACTTAAAATTCGAGATGTAGTTATAACTATCTGGCTTGGAGGATTCTCAAATTTTCCATCCAAAAAAATCTATTTTCTTTTCTGTTGAAATTATAAATTGGATGAATGCACTATTTGGGAGCCGCTGTGAAGGGCCATCGTCTTGAACAAAGCCGCCGGGAAGGACGTAAAAATGTTAATGGAAAATAAATAGGATAAATCCCTTAAAATTTGCATAAGGGCAAGATGGATATTTGGTAAAATTTTACTCTCAAAATAAAAAACTTGGTCTCAATTTATCAACACCGAGTAAATGATATGCGTGTGTAGATCTATAGATCTTTACGCTCGGCTGTATCTTTATTATTCAATGATTTAGTCTGTAGTAAATTATAACTATTAGTAGTAAGTTATAGCTATTACTACTTGGTATTTTTCAGTTATGTGGATTTCCCGTCCTTCACTAACTCCATTGTCCAATAAACTAATCACAATTCACAGGTACTAATCACAGGTGTTCGAGGCAATTTATATGGGGAACTGTGTTCACACCATATATGGTAGCAGACCTGTTTCTGGAATTGTGTCATACGAATAAAAAACAGAGTGATTTTTAAAAATAAAAGCAACACGCATATAAATTTCATCTCGTATGCATTTTTATAATTGACACAAAAAAATATTTTTTAACAATCAAGAGAACACAAAAAATATAAAAATATATATTTTAAATTTTTTTTGTCGATTAAAATGTGTACTAGGTGAGAAATAGGACAAATCAAAGTATCTTATATTAAGGACTGGAGGGAGTATTAAATTGTATCAAATCAAAATTGTTAAGCGATTAATTTCTTCCTTGAGGTTTTTGCTCTCCAATGCATATCATATGTCATTATACCTCTATATACATTTTTTGGCTCTTCCATTTATATCATATGCAACTATACGTCTGAGTACTTATATAAAAAGATCATGAACCTTAGATGCTATTAGTATGAACTTGATTGTAAAGAAAAATCATTGGAGGTTTGCATTTGAAGTTAAGTTATATCTGGTAAATAAATTATTATGTATAGAACATGTGGCTGCACAGTAATTTCAACTTTCAATTATTGTGTATTCTTTGTTGTACAATCAACTGTTCCACTCTTACAATTGTTACTCTTTTTTTAAGTTGACTTCATCAGAACAACCGACATAATAAGGTACTTGTATGTACTCCCTCCGTCCCAAAATTATTGTCCAGTTTGAGTTTTCCTTTTTAGTTTAAAATATACTAAAAATAAAATCTCAAATTGGACAATAATTTTGGAACGGAAGAAGTATTTTTTTTAGGTGCATTACTTACTATCTATGTTCACTTTATGTATATCATTTTCCTTCATTAAAACTAGTTTTCTGAAAATTTGGTTTAATGGAGAAGGTGGCGACTTGCTTTCTATGAAAAATGCCGTGGGTAATTGACGTTTTATAAAAGGTTCCGCGGTTACTTGCCATTTCATTAATGAAAATTACCCAGTTAGAATGAGCCCATTGTGGAGGACAAAGCTGGACTGCTGACTGATCCAGTTTTGAGGCCTGCATATATGCGCCAATGGTAATGATGTCGGCCCGAAAAACGTTTTCTACGTTGAAAAATTTCGACAATTTATATTGAAGCCCTTTGTGTCACATAATGAAGTTGATTCAGAAGTCGCTGAGTTGTACCCAAAAAAAAAAAAAAAAGTCATTGAGTTAAATAGAAGAGTTTTTTTTCCTTTTTTTTTTGGGGGTCCCAAAATGGCGATTTAGTATAACAAATTGCACAAATGTTTCCGAATGGAGATGCTGTACATTTCTACGAACTTATCTCTAATTTTTTTTATCTGTTTACATGGCATTAGTATTTTTTTATGAACTAGTATAAGGTTGAGTTTGAACTAAGATATATACTCAAATTAGCTTTTTATCATATAACAAAAGATAAAATTGAGAAATGCAAAAATTAGAAAGTAGACAGAGATCAAATAAACATTACTCCCTCCGTTTCATAACTATTGTCCAGTTTGGGTTTTCATTTCTAGTTCAAACTGTACTAAAAGTGAAATCTCAAATTGAAAAAAAATTTTGGGACAGAGGGAGTAATTAATACTACTATGTTTTAATTTTAAAAAAGATCAATTTGATATATTTTGTATTTCAATAGTGAGAGCTTCCTAAAAAACATTGGTGGCATATCCGCTTAGGTTTCTAGTTTGAACCAGTGAACCTCGAGCCAAATGGAAATGAGCTCAAACTCTTCTTGGCTCGTTTCGATGACTGAGAGTTTGACACAGGAGGTAGTTTCTCCCAATACTGTATTAAGGCATGGTTGGTTTTTTTTTTTTATAAAAAAAAAAGTACCTGTTATTTATTACGGGATACCTATACTATTACATCTCATTCTAGCATACGCCAGGTTACGTAGATCACTGACTTCTATACACACCAGAAATGAAAATATTCAGAGTAGGAATTTTCAGTTTTTTCTAATACTTCTCCAATCCAGAGATTCTTCTTACATTGTCAAATCTCGTTTTCCAGAAGCAACAATTCACCTTTGAGTTATGCCGAAAACTTGGAAAAGCAAATAATAACTGTGTAGTTAGCTAATATATCATCACAATTTACGTGGATAACCCATCCTACACTCAATGATCTGATGAAATGTTCCACCAGTCCCGGAAAAAAGGAGTAGTATCGTTTTTGCTGTTGGTGACTGTTAGATGACTTGGTGACTGTTCATTGAAAATAGCTAAAGCCAGTAGAAATGATTCGCTACAGTTAGACTGACACCATTCAGTTTTGGCTACAGTTATTGCCAGAACTATTACTATGATCGATGAAATTTTTCTACTCTCTCGCAAAAAATTAGTCGACAGGTTCATGTAAGTTATATCAGATTGGTGAAAAATGGGGTGTTTAGCCTTTGATTTCCCGAAAAATATCACACCAAAACGCTGATTATGTATAAAGCTAAACACATCATGTATCGGTAATAACCTGGTTTACACAATAATGAATCAAACAAATGCAGAAATGAAACCTTCACACATCAGTCTTCACACAATGCCAAAGTTCCGGACTGAAAAATCATGTAAAGCTGTGGCTGTATCTATCTATACAAAGGAAAAGCCCCCAAAATAAAACAATGAAGACCAGACCAGGCAGGATATTTGCATTTTGGAGCTTCCTTCATCTTCATGCCTGACCAATGTCAGACACAGTCATCTCTTCACTCAGCACGGCATCCTACACCAGGGAAATTGCCAATGCATAATCAAGTTCAGATAATTGCAATCAAGAAGCTTTGAGTTAAGATAAGCTTGTATTGTTTCCGAGAGAGAAATCCGAAACACAAACAAGTTCCACGATACAACAATGAAAAGGATAATTACCATGTTTTCTTTATTCTCTTGAAGCTCATTCTCCACTGGAGGGGAGTTAAGGGGTCCTGTAACAGTTATAACTAATGAGCAGCATGTAAGATCCATCATATATTATGATCCACATCAGTGTCATTTCCAAGTGATTTACCTTGTGCATCAGAGGATTCCTTTGTCTGCTTCTTCATCTTAGAGTCCTTCGGTTCCTGCTTTTGAGTTTTCTGCATTCTGCTTTGGGGTTTTCCAACAACAGGTCCCACAGTGGGTTTTGGTTTTACAGCATCCTTGGTCACTGATCCTCTGACTCTAGTTGCGGAATCATTCTTTCTTGTTGCCTCTTTTTTAGCATTCCTAACTTGATTATTTCCTGGAGAACTGTCGTTCGAGGGCTTCAATTTCAGTTCCTGAGAAGTTCGTACAGATGAAGCACTACGAACATCGTCATCAGATGATCTGATTTCCTCGGGATTATGTGAACAAGTTTCAGAGACCTGCAACTGCTCTGTGTTCTCCAAAATGTTGTAGCCTTCACGTAGTTCCTTGATAGTGTCTTCAAACTCAGCTAGGTCATGGTGACGTATGTATAGCTTTAACTCATCCCTCAAAAGTTGAAGAGGCTAAGAACAAAACACAGAAGACAAGAGTAAAACACAGTACAATTCAAATATACTCATGCTAAAAATCTAAAGCAGTAACTCATTCCTCAAAAGTTGAAGAGGGCTGAGAACAAAACACAGAAGACAAGAGTAAAACACACAACAGTTCAAATTTACTCATGCTAAAAATCTCAACAAGCAGTTCAGCTTCGAAACTATAAATGATTCATCAATAGCTAATGAAATTATTTTCACAGTAGTCAATGGATAAATTATATTTCAAAGGAAAAGTAGGAGCCGAAGACACTGTAAGACATAATTAGCAAGAAAATACAGAAAATATAACCCTTTGAAGCATAGACCTCAAAGTATTCAATCAGTTCAAGAGAATTAACTTGTCCGGACAATACCAATTTGTAGTATTGCAGGAAAAAATGGTTTGAAATGTGTTTTCAAAAAATTCCAGTAATCTGTCTTTTAGTTGCAAATCATATAAGAAGGCTATAAAATTCCATACCTCGCATCCAAACTCTAAAGCAAGTTTGAAAAAACCAAGAGAAACTGAGTGTCTAGCTGCAGATTCAGAAAGCTTAATCAGAGACTGCCAATACGATGCTGAGGTTAGACCATTGAACTTCCTTGCAAGAAATGATTTTGAAGCAGCTGGATGTGGTGTGCCAGTCCTTCCCAAGTTGCCACAGGACTTCCTTGATCTGACCTCTGAAACAGGGGTAACACTTCCAAGTGGTTTGGGAGCAGGACTGGCTGATGACTTCGCAGGAATAGATAGCCTTCTTGGAGGCTTGACAGATTTTTCCTTGTTCTTTCCTGAGAGATCAAGAAGGCCAACGCTCTTACTGACATCAGCGACTGCCCTTCCCCTGAGCTTAGCAAGAGAAATGTCAGTTAGGACATCTATCGAACAGATAATGAGGCTTTTTAAGTAATGACTAATGAGAAGTGCATTAACTTAAACAGCCATTCAATATGTCCTCCATATAGACCTCAAGATTAACAAGCACCCAATTAACCTCACAAGTTTCGAAACTGCCAATTGTGCTCAAAACCAAACAATAAATCTTTCCAACTAATCACTCTGAAATGAGGTGAAAAGGACTATGAGCAAATAAGCCCTTTATATACAAAAATCAAATCCTTGGTATTGAAATGAGAGAAAGAATTAGATATCACGATAGAATCAATAGAACTCAAATAACCATCAATTTGTATCTTAGCAGCTTTGGACATAAATGGCTAGGTATTACACTTGAGACCACCAATGGGAACCACCACAGAAAGACCCCAATTTCGCTAGAAGGGCAAATCCACTTCTGAACTTTACTCATTTCAGTAATTCAATTATAAAATTCCAGGTAACACACAACAATTCAGCAACCAAAAAAAAGAAATAATCAGTTTTCTACAAACCCTATTTGAAGAAGAACCAGAAAATTAAAAAACCCGAAAACACAATTCATGATCCGACAAAATTAAAGCACTAATAATTCGAGATCAACAGACAAACAAGAAAAAAAGGATCAACAGAAAGTTAGATAGACCTGCTTCTGGTTAAAGCAGAGTTGGATGAATCGCCCAACGGCTGCTTATCATCCTTTGGTTTAGTCGATGATCGGAGCGGATATCGGAGAAGCTTCGTGGTGGATCGGCTCACATTTGCTGCAACAAAAAAAACTCAAAAAACATAACAAATCAACCCAAATTCGAACGAAATTCGATCGGAATTGAAACCGTCCTTACCAGAAGCAGAGGATTTTTCCTTGGGAGAAACCTCCATGGATAAATTTCACAGAATTTCCACACGCAAAAAACAAAAAAAAATTAAAATAAATAATTAAAACAAAATCTTCCTTAGGGAGAGGGAATTGATAGAGACGATCTGTATTATAATGAAAGAGAGAAATTAAAGGGAAATGAATTGAAGATAAGCTAAGACAGTTGCGAAATGGGGGAAGCGGGAAATATGTAGTGTGTGAGTGTGTGTGAGAAAGACAACTCAAAGTTCAAAAATAATGCATTGAATAATGTAAAAAGAAAGCCAGCGAGATTTGGTTGAATAAAAGGGGGAAAAATTGCGCAACGGCTCGTGAAGTTTTGGGTTTTGGGGCCCAAAGACTTTTTAAATAATTTTGGGGGCCCAAATTTTTTAGGATTGTTGAAGCAAAGACGCTCTTCCCTTTTCAAATTTGAATTTCAAATGTGATTAATTCCAGTTTGCATAGAAGAAAAAAGGGTTAATATCAATTACACCCCCGAGATTTGATCGTTTATCTAAAACATCCTCACCTTTTGAAGAAATATCTAATACACCCATTAACCAGCCAAACATGGAGTCAAATGGTGAGAAGTTTGAAAAGACTAAAAAACCACATGTTCCAGCCAAATTATCCTTATCATTATCCTTATCCTTATCCTTATACTTAATATAAAGTCACAGTAGGCAAGAAATTAAATGCCCAAGAAATATTCAGGACCACCTTCAAATCGATCTCGTCCGTCGGATGGGTACGATCCAACAGCCAATATTAAGTCACTTATTAGGGGCAAAAACGAAATTTCACAAATTCAGTGTACTGGTTCGCCACCCTCCCTTTTGGGCTATATAACTTCATCGCCACCCTCCCTTTTCCCTTCCCCTCCCCCCTTCTTCTTTCTCTCTCTCTCTCTCTCTCTCTCTACCCTTTTCTTTCCTTCTTCATACTTTCTCCTCCCCAACATTTTAAGCTACTGAAATTATAATTTTGAAAGAAATTTTAATTAATATCTATCCCATCTCAGCATACCTTTCTACGTTCTCAAAACAACTTTTTACATTTCTAATATACCTTTTTACATTCCCAATACAAAAAAATACACTCAAAAAACCATCCAAACATAGTCTAAGTTTTCCAGTGTAATAAGTAAAAATTCCCCAATAACTAACCCTAAATTTTTCAGGTTAAAAGCTCAAACCACCCCCCACCCCCCCTCCCCCAAACGAAGCAACCATTAAAAACATGCACATAAATGAAAACATATATTTATACTAGAGAGACTACATGACATTATATAATTTATAAAAAATATGTTTATACTTATTAATGCAAGGATTTAACATTTTATAATAATTATTTGAGATGTTAGTGATGAATAAAGTGAATGCTCCACTGATTATATGAAAAACATTATTGCAGAAGCATCCCCTCCTACTGATGATCATGTATTAAGTACAAGTATAACATCACATAAAGCACACCAAAAATGAACCCCTAACCTATAAAAACGGTTCAATGAATCTATTCTCTCATAAATTAATACAATCCAGCAAACAAAAATCATCCAAAGAGAGAATCTCAGTACATTCGCGCCACCAAGAAATTAAATGCCCAAGAAATATTCAGGGCCACCTTCAAAGCGATATCATCCGTCGGATGGGATTGATATGACGTCAGCGACTTATTATGGGTATAAACGGGACTTTATAAATCTCAATTTAAAAATTCTGTTGGATTTTGGGGAACCCCCCCCCCCCCAACCTACAAAACGACGTCGTTTTGGATAACGTCATTTTTTGGACATAAAATTCGTAAAGCTTTTGGAAAAAATCCCTGCCTTCCAAAAAACGTCGTTTTGGGTTTTAAGCTTTAAAAGAGCTTATAAAAATAAATTGAATTTTTACAATCATTTTTACCACCGTCATCGCCCTCCCCATCCGCCACGACCCAGTCAGTTCCACGGCTTCCCATGGCATCTAAATCAAAATCCAGACTTTGGATTCGAAGTTGATCGTGCGGTTGAGATGTTGGTGGTGATGGTTGTCGGCGAGTTAGAATTTCATCCTGATTTGTATTAGGGTTATAGAAAAACAATTTCCTAATTGCCGACGAGAAGTTCAACGTAGCTGACAACTCGAAGCCTTCAAGATCCCATCTCTAATTGGACTTCCTGGTGTTTGTTTTCCTCACAGCCAGTGGTGGTGGGGCATTGACAGCCGGTGGTGGTGGTGGAGTCTTGTCATCAGAGATCTGCTGCCACTATGTTTCAGGTTAGTTTTAAGTTGATCTTTATTAAATTTTTATTCTGATTGAAGTACAATTAAATATGTAGTTCATTTGATATTCTCTCCATGTTAATTTTCATACTTTTTTTGTCAATTGCTTGTAGAAGTCATGAGTTATCTCTTCGTAGTTTGTTTCGATGCATAGGACGGGCTTCAACAATTAGCTTTTTTAAAAAATAAAAAATAAACTTCACCCGAGTGGACCCCACTTAAATGTGGATAAAACCCCCCTTACAATTCCTGGTGGGAATCGAATCGTGAACTATTACCAGGAAAGACAACAACCTAATCACTAGGCTGTCATTCAATTCTCGACTTCAATAATTAGCTTAAATTTTAATTGCATAGTAGAAAAGAAAGAACTTGGGCAGCACAGAATCTAAGTGAAGCTATTAGCATATTAGTGTTCCCATTGAAACTAGAGGCAGAGCTTTTCAACTTTAGCAAGCGGTAATATTTTTTTTCCTTCATTATGCCTTCTCATACTTTTGTATTACAAAGATAATCAAATTTATTAGGATTATTAGAAAGCTGTGAATCGACAGTATATGGGCTTATGTGGCAACCACCTTCTTCTTTTTCACTCAAGCAAGTTTCCTCCGTTCACTTCAGGCAAGCACATTTTCTTCATGAGAACAATCTCAATCAGGTTTTCCCCCCTTCTCTCTTTTTTTGCTTTTATTCTTCCCGTGTTCAAACATATTTCGTGGCTTATCTTATGTTCATTTTTATATGTTAGAATTTTTCTGAAGCGGAGTAATTTCCTTTGGAATTAATCTAAAGGTTCTTAGAGGTTGATCTTAGTTGGGTGAGATGTTTCCTATATGTTGGAATTCTACTGAAGTGGAGTAATTTCTTTCTAAGTTGTTTTTATCAGTGGGATAAGAATTATATAGATAGAGATGTAGAGTAAACATTTATGAATAACTATAATAAGAAAGAAGTAATTTCAAGCCTTAACGATGGTGAACTGCTAAATAACATCGTTGATCAGTCGCCTACTAATACATTATTCTGCACAATGTAAGAGGAAAATCCATGTCTAAAACATTTATCCCTTGCAAATGATTCGCTCTGCGAACATCTATTTGATTCTTCCATGCTTTTGGTTCTCTTTGAACTTCGTATTGTAATCTCCTTTCAAAAATCTGGGTGCATATGTGGATGTTATCTTGGGTTTTGCTTTGGTTTGCTTGATTACAGCTTTTCTCTTTTAGTCAAACATGATAGTTGGAATTGATTAATTTAATCTATTCTCGCTCTCTTGCTCAAATTTGACTGAGCTGCTATTGAGAGGTCTGGCTAATAATGTTGTCTTTAATCAACGCTTGTGTGAAGCATATCCTGTGTGTAGTTGTGACTCGTGAGCCCTTATTTCTAACGAAGTTTTAATTTTATAGATGGGTCATTGGTATTGGGACGGTAGTTGAAGAGGTTAAGGAACCAATTGCTACTCTTCTGGCCAAAGACTAATATATGCCATTTGATTCCCTTAATGAAGGTCTCAATTTACAGAATATATTAAGAAAATTATGGCCTTGTACCATTTCTGTAATGGCATTTTGTCTACTAAAACAGCTACTGAAAATTTCACTGGATGGAACTTGGAAGCTTGCAACTACCTTGCACAAGATAAGAGTTTTAAGATCATACGTAAGATGACAGAGTTTTAGTTAGTTTCCTTGGCATGTGACATGTGTAACTCATTTTGATGTGGTGAATAGGTTTTGCAGTTTGTGATGTGGATGCCTTGATTTTCAAATTTAATTTATATTAGGAGCTATGTTTTTTTCTTGTGAATATTATTTTAACAGTACACACAAAAATCTCAAGCATAATCTGGACAGATTTGGCTATGAACTTCTGCACCGCCACTCATTTTTGCTGCTCTATATCAACTTTTAGGTATAGTCAAACTGGAGAAGTCAACATCATTTGCATATTGCGACAACAGTAATTCTGCTTTGCAGCAACAAGTAGTAAGACTCCAAATATAGATGAACCTAATGTTTCTTGGGTCAATTACTTGGTGAAAGACGTTCAACTATTTAGCTCAGAACAGTAGCGTAATGGAGGGTTCAATGACATTGTGCCATCATGGATTAATCAACTGTGCATAGAGGAGGACAAATAGTAGCTTAATCAATAACAATTGGCAAAATGATGCATTGGCTTCAATCCGTTATTGGATTGTATTTATATTCTTTATTCTATAGTATTCTTTTCATAATTCATATATGTAGAACGAAGAAAGTATATGGTGATCAATGGTTTCCCAAGTTAATTGATGAAAGATTTGGGGTAGGATAACTAATCTATTGTTTGATAGCTTTAAGGATTAGGCTGAGTAATAATGTTTTGAGATATATTCAGTTTCTTTCATTCCCTGAAACTCAATGGGAAGCCACTTTCTATGCATTCTTCAATAGTAAAAACAAAATAACCTTTTAATTTTTTCTATGTTTCTCAGCGTTTTACTTCTTAGCCCTTTTTTCCATAGTCATTAGATCCATTGCCAGGTTAAACTGATCAAAACACAAAGAAAAAGTTCATATCATTTCATAAACTTCTGGGATCTGAAACAAAGAATCGGGAAACAGAAGTAACAAACTCCTTATAGTGACCATTTCCCAGACCAGTTGGTCCTGCCTTTCTGATGACAAGAATTTTTGGGCTTTTCTTCCAAGAATGCTGCTTTGAAAGTATCTTTCGTTCAATGTACAGTAAAAAAGATTTTTCATTTTAATTCATTACACGTATAGTGAATACACCCAACTTTTTAAATACTAATTACTCAGTGAGATGCTACATTTGACGTGCATTCGTGTATTTTTTTCATCGTGCTCATTATAACATTTCTTCACGAAACAAAGTTATCATATTTGTTAAGAACAATCCGACCCATGTCACTAATTAACAATAAGTACCGATTTATATATAAATTCTTAAATTATAATCGCATGCGATATTTACATGATCCTCTCATTTTGGTATAATATCCACGATGTCATATTTTGGTACAAGAAATTGTTATTCATATTTTCC